CAATAGCCCTCTGCAATGTGTTCCTACCATCAAATTGTGTTGCCATCTTAACTCACTCCAGATTCTTTGAATATGTTGCATCATTATGAGAAAAAGCTCTAATTTGTCAGATTAGGGACCCAAAGGAGCTGGGGCATATTCTCTATCTCTTTGCTGGGATCAGCATATAATGAACACCTTTGATTTCTCTACAATGACTGGGGCAGGGGGCAGTATATTAAACACGACTGCCTCTGAATATTACTGGGGACAGACTCTTATTGAGGAAGCTCCCTACTCCTTGATCAATATAAAAAGGATACAATGACACGGCTCTGTCTTTTTGTTTTTTAACACTTTATCTATCATGAACTTGTTGGGGTAGGGGAGAGGGTAAGAGGTGAGAATAGTTGCGTTTTCCTTTCTCCCTTTCCTCCATAGTGACAATTGTAGCTTGAAGCCCATAGATACCTGCTATGTGCCTTGAATCCTTGGCTGCTTCCTGTGCCCTTCTGTTTCCTTTCCTCAGAACAGGTCAGTGACCAGTAATCCTGATTATTCAGCTATCTGGTGAGTTTGGGAATTCTTGAGTTCCTAAATCAGGCGCTCAGCATAAGGTATTTCTCAATTCTAAACAAGCTTAGAGGAGAAGAGTACCCCTGCAAGGAGGTTCCTGCAGCTGCTGCACCAAAGATAGTCATGATTGACTGGCCCGGAGCTCTAGAACTTGTGACTTGCTCAGACAGTGCAAATCCGAGGTTAATGAAAACATCACAAATGAGGGCTTGATTTGTTATTTTGTTGTTTGTCAAGGAAAAGTCCAAGGGAAACAAAAGCAGTTGTGTTATACAATTAATCAATTGGCATTTATTAAGTACTAACTTTGAGCCAGATGGACATTGTGATAAGAACTGGGGATACAAAGATAAAAATGAAACAGTACATTTCCTTCACAGAGGTTTCATTCTATCATGAAAGACAATATATATGTACAAAAGTATATAGAAAACAAATACAATGTAGTTTTGGTGGGAGGCACTGTCAGCTGGGAAGATCAAGAAGGGTCATATAGAAAATAGCATGGACGCTGAATTCTGAAAGGTACTAAGGATTCTAAGAGGTTGAGTGAAAGTAGAGAGTGCATTCCAAGCATGTGGAATCGCCTATGCCAAGGCACAGAGATAAACAGATCCAATAAGTGTCAAAGGAAGAAGAGAAGACTTATCATAATAGATGAAAACTACCCACTTCTGGTGATTCATGCATGCACAGAGGATACTTCAGAGAGAACCTAAAAAGTCTTTCCAAAGATTACAAACTCTTGAGTCAAAAATTGAAGATCATAAAATCACAGGTTTTATTTTCCTTATATTATCCATTGAAGTGAAGGGATACAGAAGAAAAAAATTGATTTGGAAAGTGAACAGCTAGCTGTGAAAGTGCTGAATCTGAAGCTGGAATTTCAACTTCTAGTTTAAAATATATGGATAACAGATTCCTGGTCAGGGGTGGAATCTACCCAAAAAAGACTGGTAAAAATTCATTTGTCTGGTGGTTTGCAATTCTGTCAGTTAGTCAATAAAAATATAATCAAAGATCAAAGGACTTTGAACTAAAGAGGATGGAGGAAGAAGATTATCTTTGTATATCCGCCAAGCTAGATGCTATATTGAATAACCATAAAGAATGAAAAATAGTATGTGAGACACCTAGAAGTTCACAAGAAAATTAATAAGACCCAAATGCCCAAAGTGTATGCAACAAATAAAAGGAACTAGAAATCCTAAAGCAAGGAGGAAAATTATCCCATGAATAGACTGTGACTCTGTTTGGGTATACATTATTCAAAAGAAATAAGATAGGAAAAGGAAGAGGATGATGTAGCGTCAAATGTTAAGAAATGATACTTAAGGGGCAGCTAGGTGGAGCAGTGAATAGAGCACCAGCTCTGAAGTCAGGAGGACCTGAGTTCAAATCCGGCCTCAGACCAAACACTTGACACTTAATAGCTGTGTGACCCTGGGCAAGTCACTTAACACCAATTGCCTAAAAATTAAAATAATAATAAAAAGAAATTATACTTATGTGAGGAAATCCAAGAAATTGGGAAAGTGCAGAACTAGTCAGAAACTTCACATTGGAAAATAACTCTTCTTTAAGCCAATCCAGTTATTGAATGTGGGGAAAACTTCATTTAGACTTAACACTTTAACATTCAGATGTCTCACAGTTAGCAGTATTAGTGATAAGAAGGGGTTGGAGATAATCAAGACTGAAATCCTGAAGACTTACAAGGCAACATTTCCAATGAAAAGGAAAACGGAATTTATCTGAAAAGTCTAATAGGATGTCAAGGAAACTCACTAATCAATTTAGATTTTAAAAAGAATTATACTGAAGATGGAAGAAATGCCAAATAACAGAGGATGAATATGAAAGTATAGAACAATCCTGCAAAAATAGTATCAGGAGGGCTAAAGTTCAGAATGAGTTGAAGTTGGAGGAAGACAAAGATTACAAAAAGGTAGGTTTTTTTGTTTGTTTTGCTGTACTGGAAGAAAAAAGTAGGTCAAAGAAGGACAGAAACTTTGCTTGGGGGTGAATAGGACTATAACTGACAACAGAGAGAAGGCAGAACTGCTCACTAAGAATGAGCCATCCCGTTCTACTTTTGTTTTCTCTGCCAAGGAGAATGGCTTTTTGACACTGAAAATAATAGAATAAAATAGGCTAACAGGGAGTTGATACCCAAAATGAGTAAGCTGATATGAAGAGAGCACCTTATTGAACTAGTGATTTAAAGTTACTTGGCCCAGATAAATTTGCATATTTGATTGCTGAGCCATTGTCAGCAATATTTGGAAGACTGTAAAAATAGGAGAGGTAGCACTCAAAATTGGGAAAGGCAAAAATGCTCCAATTTTTTTTACAAAAGGGTATAGAACATTAAAACTATAGGCCAATAATCTTGAATTCTATTTCAGGGAAAATTCTGGAATGGTTCATCAAGTGGTGATTATAAAGAGCCATCTAAAATTCAGCAAAAATATGTCATATCAAAGTAACCATTTTTCCATGTTTGATGGTTTACAAAACTGATGGATGAGGAGACTACAATTTACTATAGTTTGTCTAAATTTTAGCAAGGCTTTTGATAAAGTTTTATGTTATTCTTGTGAAGAATAGGGAGAGATGTGGATTAGACATTATTAAAATTAATTGTATTCAAAATTGATTGGGTAGATACCCAAACTCAAAAAGTGGTTCAATGTCAACATGGCAAGAAATCTCCAGTACCTCAAGGATCTTTACTTGACCCTGTGTTATTTAACATTTTGGTCAATGACTTGGTTAAAGGTATAAATTATATGCTCATTAGGATTCAAAAATATCTTGACAGTTAGAACTTTGGACTGAACTTAATAAGATGAAATTCATTAGAGATGGTTGGATAGTAAATTGTATGGAAAAACTCCAAGAGTCTCAATGGACTTAAAGTTCACAGTGCATAAGCAGTGTGGTTTAGAAGCCAAAAAATGACTTACTGTGATGCTGGGTTGCAATGAGGGACCTGGTTCTCAAGATAAGGAAATGAGAATTCCTTTATACTTTGCCCTGGTCAAAACTCATCTGGAATATTGTGTTCAGTTTGAAGCTGCACAATTTAAAAAGGACATTGATAAACCAGAAGTTATGCAAAGAAAGGCAACTAGGATGGTAATTAGTTAAAGAAACATTTGTCAATGTTTAGCCTTGAGAAGAAGACTTAGGAGGGAGACCAAGAACTGGATGAGACCTCACAGTCCATCTCCAACCAATTTATTCTGCAGATGAGTTAACTAAGATTCAGGGTAGCAAAGTGATTTGCCCAAACTCACAAAAGTATTAAGTATTAGAGGCAAGATTTGAACTCAAGTCCTCTAACTTCAGAATAGGAATTCTTTCCCATCTACCATTCTGCCTCTCAATAGCTGTGTTCAAATATCTGAAAGGCTGTTGTGTGAAAGGGGGATTAGAATTGCTCTGTTTGGCTCCAGAAGACAGAACCAGGAAATTTAGAACTGATGCCAGGAACACTTCCCCTAACAATTAGAGGAATCTTTACGTTAAAAGGCTTATCTCAAGATGTGAAGGATTCCCCCTACTTGGAGGTCCTTTGGCAGAGATTGGATGGTCACTTGTTGGGTATATTGTACTGGGTATTCTTTAAAGGTATGAGGTGGACCAAATGTCCACTGATGTCCCTTCCAACTCTCAAATTCTGTGATTTTTGTGCTGTTCCCTTTGAGTCTTATTTGAGTTATACATTGGAGAAAGGATGCTTTAAAAGTATTGCCCTATGACTCTGTCATAGGATGATAAAAATTAAGCTGGAAGACATCTTAGAAACAATCTTGTCTAAAGCCTTCATTTTATAGTTTAGGAAATTGAGGCTCAGAAAAGTTTAAGCGACTTGACCAAGGTCACAGAGACAGTATCAGAGCTTGGATTTGAACTCAGATCTTCTGACTTCAATTACAACACACTTTCCATGTTTTCTCTTTCTTTGTCATTTGTGCTTCACACAAATAGCTCTTCACCTTTAACCCCTTTCAGAAACTGATCTAGCTTATTTTTGTGGGTGGCTTCTGATATTGGGAATGGCTTCAATACATGTATAATCTAAAGCCAGCCTAGCCTCTCTCAACATTCCCCTCACCATCACACATAAACAACTACCACACACCACAAACTTTCCCCAAAGCACATATATACATTATCTTTTTTTTGGTATTGAGTCGGAAGTCAGTCTACTAGTGAGTAAGTGGAACCACCAGGCTTGATTTTTCTTGACATTAGCACTGAAACACAGCAGAAAAAAGAACTCAAATAAGTCAGAACAATTTCAAGATATATTGGTTTTAATGTATAGGGAATGGGGATTTGGATGAAAGACAGTGAAAAGTCAGGAAGAAGAAGGTGTAAAATAGGGTGAGAAAGAGACAAACCCTGGCAATTCTCTTCATAGATAAGGGGTCAAATTGGAAAGGCACAGAGAAAAGAGAAACATTAAAAAACACAATTTTGTTCATATGTACAGAGAAAAGGTAGTCACTAGGCAGACCCAGGAGGGAATAAGTGACATATATTAATCAGGGATAGGTCCTAACCACAAACACCAGTTAGATTACCCAACCCTTCTTCTCCCCTAACCATAAATACATGCTTAGCCTCTCTAAATATCATGCCTCTCACTCCCTACAGCTTCTGCTAGACTCCCTCTGGAAGCATCTTTATTTCCTTCGCCCAATTTGTGCCAAAAGGTGAGCATTGGCAGCTGCTTTGGCCCTCAAGTTCTTGGCCTTGGCTATGTTGAAGAGGATATTCATAATGTTGGTAGGGACATCCAGGGACAGGGTGAACTTAGTGTGCCGATCACTCTGGGCCTTGTTCTGGTAGAGCTTTCTTGTTAGCTGTGCCTGTGACTGGTACTTATACCTGGTACCCTCAATCCCTGTGCCAATCCCACCACTACCCCCAGATAAAGTTCTTTTTTCCTTGTTCTCGTCATCCTCTTCTTTCTCCTCTTTGTCTTCCTCCTCAGATGATAGTTCCTCACTGGAAATGTAACCAAAGCTCCTCTTGCTTAGTGAGGAATCATCACCTTGCTGACTCTTAGCCCCAGACAGAGCAGTATTAATACAGCTGAAGATGAACTCTGTCTGGCAGAGCTTGTGGGAGTTGCCTGTTCCCGAGGTTCCTAGAAGTAGCAGTAGGAACAGAAATTGAGCAGGAAACAGCATTCTGTCCTATAGTGGGGAAGAAGGTGGGACAAAGATGAAAAAGAAATGGGATGTTATTACAACTTTAATGGTATTTATGATATTCTCTGTTTTGTGGTCAAAAGACTAAACCCCTAATGCTGATCATTTGTAAATCCATAAGCTCTCAGTTGCAAAAGGTACTGAGTGAGAAAAGGTTTGTACTATTATTGGGGGAAGAAAAGTTCCAAATACAAATAAAAGGCAGTGCATTTTGAAGTGAATTATTTGCCAATTAATTTGGCATCTGTGTTTTATTTTGTTTTTGAAGTTCACATGGAGGTGTCTACGTTTAAATGATGCTGTTGAAAGTGCTGCTAGAAAGATCCAGCAGGATCCAGGACGACAGCTTGGGTAATCTACGATTTTTCATTCTTAAACCTTAAGGATCCAGTTAGGAAATCTTGTTCCCTGGATCAGCAATTTGTAATTTGGTTTTTGACCTCATTGCTTAGCTGAAACTAATGTCACCAAAGTTACCAATCATCTCTTAATTGACAAATTTATTGACCTTTTCTCAATCCTCATCTTTTTTTTCTTTTATCTCTCTGTAGCATTTGACACTTTCTATTCTATTTGGGTTTTTGTGACACTGTTCTCTCTTGGTTCTCCCTCTACCCGTTTCTTCATTCCTTATAAATCTCTTTTGCTGATTGTGACATTCATGTCACACCACTTCAATACACTTCTATCCCAATGCTCTCTCCTAGATTCTGTCTCTCTCATTAAGTAAAAATACACAGTTTTCTAAGTCATTATGTGGCTAGCAGGGATCCTTATGTAAGATTTAGTGGGCCTACTTTTCTATTTGAGTTTGACACAACTGTTTTAGTCCCTATGCTCCTGGTCCTCTTTCATTTAGATTGGGAAAACTCATACAGAAGGAGTTAGCTGACCTGAAGAATTGGAGGCTGGTGTGTGTTTGATGTGTACTACTCCTAAGCGAATTGGACAACTGTGCCTGTAGAAAGGAAGAAAGAACATAAGAGTTATAAGATTTAGTGTTGGAAGAGTCCTTACACATTATTTATTTCTACCTCCTTATTTTACTGAAGTACATCCAGACCAGAGAGGTCAAGTTCCTTGTTCAGGATCTCACCAAAAGCAAGTAGAAGAATCAGGATTCAAACCTAGGTGCTTGAATTCCAAATCCAAGTACTTTTTTCTACTTAAAACCTCACTGTTTTAATAAAGGAAAGAAAAAATTAATTTTGTGCCACCTTCTAAATAGCATAATAATAGAATAATGGATTTAATATGACCTCTACATATATAAAGAACCTGAGAGCAAATTCTCTATAATTTATCTATATTTTAGGGAATTGCCCAAGGTTTAGTTAAGTTAAGTGTTTGAGACTCATAAAAAGTTAAGAGTCATGCCATTGTCTCTGAGCTTAAATATTTGCATTTAAACACAGTTTTCCTTGAGGTAGTTTAGTGGATAGAACACTGGGTCTGTAGCATGAAGATCTGAGTTCAAATCTGGCCTCAGACAATCCCTAACTATGAGGCTCTGGTAGTCATTTAATCTCTGTTTGGATTACACTAGAGAAGGAAATGGAAAACCACTCCAGTATCTTTGCCAAGAAAACCCCAAATGGGGTCAGGAAGAGTTGGAAACAACGTCATCACTAACTGTTTTCCTGACTACGGCTAGCCGCTATACCCATGATGTCCATACATATATGCATCCATACACACACAAACACACACACACACACACACACACACACACACACAATCTATTTTTTTTTTGGACAGGCTGTCCCACAGTAAGAAATTTCTGAACATGCATTCCCAATGCGTGCATACTTATTCATAAAGTATATATATTTAGTATTGTACTGATAATTATATACTTTATAAAACTTGTACAATGAGATAAAGAGGAAATAATGTTTGATCCCAGAGTCAGTAGGGAGCCACTTTTTTGAGTAGAGAAGTGACATTGTCAGACCTGCACCTAAGGAAAATACCTTTTTACCACTATGAGGCCTGTAAGTGTAAGCATTTACACCTTTGGAAATCAGCGAACACCACAAATCAGAGTTTGATTTATGGTTTTCTTGATTTAGCCTTAAGAAAGTGTTGGAGAAGGTGTTAATAATGCATATTAAATGTTCAAGTATACCATGTATATATTTTTTCATGTTGTTAAACATTAACTAGCATAACCTTGCCTATACCCCAAAGAGATCAAGAAGACTCATATATACAAAAATATATATATATAGGGACTCTATTTGTCATAATTAAAAAAAAACCTGGAAACTAAAGATGTGCCCCTCATTTGGGGAATGATTTAACAAGTTGTGGTATAAAAATGTAATGGAATACTATTGGACTATAAGAAATAATGAAAGGGATAGTTTCAGAAAATCCTGGGAAAATTGTATGAACTGATGCAGAATGAAGTAAACAGAACTAGGAAAACTATTTATGCAATAACAAAAGCATTGTGAAGAAAAACAACTTTGAAATACTTAACAAATTTGATTAATGAAACTAACACAACTCCAGAGGACCATAGATGAAGCACATTACCCACCTCCTAACAGAAAAGATTGGTTTTGCTTGACTATGCACATTTGTTGTGTTGGTTTTGTTTTACTTTTTTATTTTAATTGGAGGGGGGAGGAGAGGTGGAAAGAAATGGAGGTTAATAATAATATTGTCAAAGAAAGAAGAAAAGGAAAAAAGACAGTCATTGAAACTTTTTTTTTAATTCACAGAAGTTTAAAAAGAAGCACAGATAAGCAGAACAGGTTTGAAAAACATTGAATTCTTTATTTAAAAGGAAAAGCAGGCTACATGTAATGGACATTCATGATTTCATGTATAATTCTCATTATTTGCTCTACTTTGTATATGTTAATGCTCATTTTATTTGGTATTTCTTAAGTTTAGGATATAATTTTTTTTTTTGGTGTGTGGAGAAATGGGAGAATGATACTGCTTTGATGCTGAAGCAGCTGTAATTTCTCTCATTCAAGGCTATCAATCCACTCTTAGACTCTTGACCACCCTTTGGTATGCTGTGGTTAAGTATGAAATCACAGTAGTTGATAATAACTAAGCATTTTTATAGCATTTAAGATTTACTAGGCACTTACAAATATCATCTCATTTGATCTCTACAAAAACCCTGGGAGGTAGTGCTATTATAATCCCCACTTTATGGATGAGGAAACTGAGACGGAAAGGGGTTAAGTTACTTGCCCAGGATTACAAAGCTACTAGGTGTCTGAGGCTGGATTTGAAATCAGGTCTTCTTCACTTCAGATCCTGAGCTCTATTCAATACAAAGGTGAAAAAGGATCCAATTCAAGTGGATGTGGGTCAGGACTAAAAGGACCAAGGATAATAATTCATATTTAAGGTTTTCAAGGCATTTTCCTTATAGAAACTTTGTGTATTTGTATTATTTCCATTTTCATGTATACAAAGAAACTTGAGCTTGCATATTTGTCCAAAGTCGCATACTGGGTAAAGTTGGG